CCTCGAGTGAGTGACATTGATAGGAAGTTCACAGTGGTACAGGGGTTTGTTGAGATATGCTTTGAAATGTCATCTCACAAAGATAACAACCCTACACTGTTAAGAATTTGGGTTGTTTAAAAAAAAAACTTTTTTTTTTTAAGAGATGGTACCATTCTCCAAATTCTAAACACAAGAAATTATATTAACAGAAGGAAAGAACGTTCTTCCCTTTCCTTTTCCAAAGGATGCTTTTTCTACTCCTCTATCTTCTTGGCAGCAAACAAGACTTTTAGCTCTTTGATATTTTCTTCCAATTCAAATTCACATTGTGAAGTGAAAAACTGCCACGACTAACAAGTTAATGCTGGAATCCTACCATGTTATGCCTGGCTTGTTTTCATCATCTCATGGTCTGAACTTCCCAAGAGTGAGAGAAAAACAATGTCCGTTTCTGCTGACCTACTGAAACCAGTGGGCTGTCACATAGCCTCTGTTTGTTGGTTTACTGGAAGCTCTTGGATTTGTCCCAGTGGAAAGGCAGTAAGTTATTTTTTCCTATCTGAGAAAAGTAAAGATAAACCTTATCTATAAAAAGTTTACCTTTCTTTCTTAAAAAGAAAATTGGCAGATCCACTTCATATTGTTCCTAACTTTTCCAAGGACATTTCTGTTTCTATTGACCTCTGAAAGACCACTCTAACAAAATCTTCTGCCCTCCCAGCAGGAAACACCGTCACTGCCATTCACACTGCAGAACGTAAGCATCGCCTTTCCACACTGTCACTTTATGGAATGGACTGGAAGATAGATATTCGGGGGACATTTTGGGGAGTCACTTTTTAAAGTATAAAATATATCAGTCAAGTATACAAATCTTAAGTGTCCTACTTAATGTTTATAAAGTGAAACATCCATGTTAACTGCCACTCAGATCAAGATTACCAGAAAACTCCTTCATGTACCATCCTAATCATTCCCTACCACAAAGGTAACCGCTATTCTGACTTCCATCATTAAGGTTAGTATGCCTGTCCTGTTTTGTGTAAATGGAAGCATATCAGATGTGCTCTTTTGTGTCTTCTCTCTTTTCTTATGTATATAAGATTGAGCTATGTAGCTATATTTGGCACTAGTTTATTCTTTTTCATTGCTGTATAGTGTTCTACCATGTGACCCTCCCTCCCTCTCTGTCCCCCCTCTCTTTTTCTGTTTGCGTGCACGTGCACATGTGTGTGTATGTGTGTGTGTGTGTGTGTGTGTGTATATATATACACATTTATACATTCTATTTACACATTCTACTACTGACAGTCATTAGTGTTGTTTCAAATTTTGACTACTATCAGTAAAGCAGCTAGGAATATTGTTATTGTGCCTTCTGGTAAACATAAACACTCATTTTTGTTCTGTATTAAAACAATGGAACTGCTGGATCATGACATATATATATGTTCAGGTTTAATAGATACTGCCAAACATATTCCAAAGTCTTTATGCCAAGTTATGATCCCACCAACTATTACAGAAGAGTTTAAGTTGCTCTATATCTTTGTCAATATTTGTGCTGTTTTTAACTTTTAACTTTAGTTATTCTGATGCATGTATATCAATCTTCTTTTTATGCTTAACAGTCATTAGGATATACTCTTTTGTGAAGTGCCTATTCAAATCTTTTGCTCATTTTCCCCTAAAATGGTTGTCTTTTTTCCTATTGATTTGTAAAAGTTCTTTATATATTTTAGATATTTTTTTGTTCACTATATGTGTAGAAAATATATTCTCCCAGGATATGGCTTGCATTTTGACTCTTAATAGTATCTTTCAATGAAAAGAGACTATAATTTTCATGAAATTCTATTTATCAGTTTATGATTAGTGATTTTTATAGCATTTTCCCCCCAAAGGAGTAGGAGACACAAGGAGCAGTAGACTTGGAGAAGGGGGCATGTGGACCACCACAGCTGAATCCACATTTACACACCAACCAGATATAGATGTCAATTCAAGCATAGACTTTGAGAATCTATTGAGTATGTGAAGGGAAACACGAAGACATTCTGTTATATTTCCTACTTGAAGCTTATTGTTTTACCTTCCATATTTAGGTCTCTGATCCACTTGGAACTGATTTTTTTGTGTATGGTATGATACAGGTTCGAGGTTCATTTTTCCCATATGCAATTGACTCAGCATTTTTTTAATTGGGGAAAAAAAAAACCTCCCCTGCTCCCAAATTATAATGGCATGTTCATCAGAAGTCAAGTGATTTTGTGGGTTGGTTTCTGGACTCTTCATTCTGTTCCGCTGGACTTTTTAACCTTGGGTCAAAACCACACTATCTTAAATATTTAAAAAGCCTTGCAATTTGGTAATAAGTTCTTCAATTCTGTTGCTTTTCTTCAAGATTGTTTTGGCTGTTATAGGTCTTTTGCTTAGGTTATAGATTTCCATAATAATGTTAGATTATTAATTTCTATAAACAAAAACCTGCTGGAATTTTTCTTGAGATTGCACTGAATCTACAGATAAAGGAAGAACTCACATCTTAACTCTTTTGAATCATCATCCATGATGATGGTGTATGTTCTATTCCCCATTTATTTAAATCTTCTCTAATTTCTCTTAACAATGTTTTATAGTTTTCAACATAGAAGTCTTGCTCATATTTCATTGGATGTTCTTCTTGATTTTGATGTTTTTATTTAATTAATTTTATTATAAATGATTTAAATTTTTCCCAATTGTTTGCTGGTAGTACAAAGAAATACAGTGGATCTTTGTTGACCTCTATCCTGTGACTTTGTTAAATTCACTTATAAATTCTATTAGTTTGTAGATTACTTTGGATTATCTACGTACAGAAACTTGACATCTGTAAGTAGTAGAGTTTGCTTCTTCCTTTCTAATCTCTATGCTTTTAATTTCTTTTTCTTGCCTTTATTGAACTGGCTACAACCTCAAGTTACATTAAATACTGTTGAATATTAGTATGATAGTGAACATATGTGTCTCGTTCCTGACCTCAATGGGAAAAGGTTAATATTTCACTACTAAGTACAGTGTTAACTATAGTTTTTTGAAGATATTACTTGTTTGCTGAGAGCTTTACCATACTATTATGAAATTTTATCATAGTATTGAATTTTATCAAATGCTGCACCTATTCAGATGATTGTATGAGTTACCTACGTTCCATTCATTATACCCTTTATTTTTAAATTTCGAGATATAAATTCATATGCAATTATAATGGGCATTAAAGAGGGCACATGATATGATGAGCACTGGGTTTTATATGCAACTAACGAATCATTGAACACTGCATCTGAAACCAATGATGTACATGTTGGCTAATTGAATTTAAATTAAAAAAAGATAATATGGATAGCATATACTCTTTATCCAATTTCCCTCAACAGTATAATTTTTCAGAATTACAGTATAATATCACAGGCAGGATATTGACATTGATTTAATCCACTGGTTCTGTTTGTGTTTCCACTCTGATTTCTAAATGTTAAACCAACCCTGTGTTCTTTATTCGTGAAACATGTATAACTGGATTCAATAAGCTAATATTTTGTGGGGATTTTACATCTGTATTCACGAGAGATATTGGCCTGTTATTCTCTTTTCTTGTAATGACTTGCCAGGTGTTGGTGTTAAGATTATATTGGGCTCATTGAATGATGTGGAAGTGTTTCTTTTTTCTCTGTTCTCTGAGTTTGTGTATGTTTGCTACTCTATCTTTTTGAAATACTTGGAGAAATTTACCAGTAAAGCAAGCCATCTTGGTTTGAAATCTTCCTCATGGGAAAATTTTAAGTACATATTAGATCTTTTTTTATAGATTGGGGACTATTCAGAATTTTTTTTTCCTCCTGAAAGAAATGTTTTTCAAGAAATGTTTCCATTTCATCAAAGTTGTCAACTTTATTGAGAAAGTTTTTTCCTTTAATTTCCTTTTATGATATTTTTCATAATGTCAGTAAAATCTGTAGTGATACTTTCTTTTTCATTTGTTTTTTGTTTTCTTTCTTGATTAGTCTGACTAGGAGTTATCAACTTTACTAGGAGTTATCAACCATTCAAACTGGCTTTTGGCTTGTTGATTTTCTCTTTGTCTTTGGCCTTATATTTCAAAGATGTTCCTTGTAGACAGCATTATAAGTAAATGTAGCTTTAAAATGGAAAGTTGATGTCAGATTCAGGCACAGTCATAGTCCTTGTCTTGTGGCACTCACAAGAGGGAAGTGGTAATGGTCTTGAACTGGGACTTAGCAGTTTAGACTTGTATTTTGTTTTTCTAAGATTTATTAATTTATTTGAGACAGAGAGGGCTGGGGGGCAGAGAGAGAGGGAGAAAGAATCACAAGCAGATTTCCCACCAAGCCTGGAGCCCAGCCCATGCTCCATGTGGGGCTTGATGTAAGGCTGGACATGGCGCTCCACACAGGTCTCCACAGGGGGCTTGATCATAGGACCCTGAGATTGTGACCTGAGCTGAAATCAGCTTCTTCACCAACTGAATCACCCAGGTGCCCCCAGCAGTTTAGACTTAACAGAAGTGAGAGGGAAAGGATTTCACTCTTGGTGGAATATTTTTAGATAATAAATTACCACCCTCAAATTCATTTGTTTCTAAAGCATTTTATATTTATTATAGTGTTAAAGAAGAATAGGCTTGAATTGTGGCCTGGCTATCATTCAGCACTCTCAGAGGCAAAGCTGTGTAGTCAGTGCTATACAAGTCTCAGAATTTGTCTTAGAAAACTCCTAACTGAACTGTTTCTTTTTGGAATGATAGATGAAGCAGCAGACTTTAAGTGGTAAGGAAACTCAGAAACCATCTTGGGCCCATTATCATTTTTCTGTATACTTGGATATGGAAATATAAAGTGTACTCTCATTTTTGTCATGCAGATAAATGAACAACTGAATACTTAGAACTTGGATTTTAAATGTCATCATGACCTTTAGAAATAACAACCAGTTTAAAAATGGACCAAAGTGTAAATAAAATGGGCAAGTAATACACTTAAGTTCCCAATGAAAATTTATAAGAAAAAGTTATTTTTGCTTTGCAGTGTTTGGTCTTAGAGAAAAGACTTCATCATTTTATATGTGATGCGGCTTTCTGGGCTCCTGACATCTTCATAACATTTGACTGGAATTTCTTTCTCTTGAAAATGAATGGGCATTTTCTGGCTCTCCACACTCATGAGCTTCACCTGCAGGGGACCCAGGTTTACATAATCCTATGGTGAACAGACACAGAAGAGAATAGGAGAGGTTATCCAACAAGGTATCAGTCTTAATAGTTAGGTTTCTTTTATTATAGTTGGCCTTTATCTGACAGATTTCATTGCCCTCTTAACTGCCTGAATAACATGTGAAATATGAGAGCCACTGTAAACAGAAAACCACTCAATAAGCTTGTATACCCAGTGGGGCATGGTTTCAAGAGCTCCCAAAGAGCAGGCAGCAAGCCAACAGGCTTGTCTTTCAGGGAGTTGGGTGGGGAGCACCAATTAGAGTGGGGAGATACATTATCTCAAAGTCTTTTAATTGGTAAAAGAAAAGTGTTGGCTATATGTAGCCCTCTGCTGGCCAGGATATAACCACAGCAGAGTTTTCTACATTATTCAAGAACAATGGGAAGGATCTGTAAACATCACTTTGACTATAAGTATTCTTATTAAGCAAATGCTCCATGAATTTTTCACTTCTCAAAGGATCACTGGGTACTGTGTAAGTAAAACTGACCATATTCTGTCAAACTAACTATAGTTTAAGATATCTGCAAATGGAATTAGAAATCTAATTTACATGAAATCCCAGCCAACCCAATAGTGGGTTGAAACAGCTCAGGCCCTACCCAGCATGCCTTCCTCTTAGAAGCCTTCTCAAGCCATAACTCTCTCTTTTGAATTCCTTCAACATTTCAGCAAGCCTTTCCTGAGTTCCCACTTTGTACCAGGCCCTGTACCAAGTGCTGAGGTACAATGATGAGGTCACAGACTGACTGGTCAGGGAGACAGATACAGGTGCTACATTCCTCATGTACATTGATTAGTGATGTCCTAATCTGTCTTCTAGCATGTAACCGTGTGAGGGGAGGGCGCTCCCTACAGGCATCTTTGAAACTTCATTTCTGCCTATTCTCCCCATAAATTCCCAAACATCTAACAAGTACCTGGCACGTGTGGGGTTTTCAAGAAACATTTATTAGAATTTAGGAAAATCACTGAATGAAAAAAGGAAGGCATTATTTTATGCCTCAAAAATGCATATAGTTGTATTTATTTTATTTTAAAAATATGTAATTATAGAGCTACACTAAACATAAGACAGGAGAAAAACAAACTGACGGATGTCTCCAACATATTTCCGAGTCTGCGCAAGCTGTCATCACAAAATATCATAGATGGACTGGCTTACACAGCAGACATTTAGTTCTCACAGTCTGGAGACTGGGAAATTCAAGATCAGGGTGCTACATTGGATGAGTTCTGATAAGAGTTCTCTTTCTGGCTTGCAGATGGCTGCCTTCTCACTGTGTCCTTACAAGGCACATCATCTTCTTGTAAGTCCTCTTCCTATCAAACTGGGGCTCCATTTTTTTTTTAACCTCATTTAACCTTAATTACCTCCTAAAGACCCTATCTGTAGATTGGGTGTGAGGGCTTCAACATATGAATATGGTGCGGGTGGGAATGGGGATGGGGATCCAATTCAGTCCATAGCGTACATAGTGCCATTTCCACCATCAAAAACCTCCATGGAAAGTAAGAAGGTCTTTCATTCAGCCAAATGGTATGTGAGTTTGGAATTTTGTAAACAATGGTGCACTAGCCTGAGGTCATGATAACATACCAAGTGTCATGATTTCAAAACCCCCATGGGGGTGTTTGAATGCCATTAGAGACTAGAACTTTAGTCTTTGTCACTTGATGTTAGCAGGACTGAGGTGTATTCAGCTAAAATGGTTTGTGTTGAGTTTTTTAGTTTCTTCTGCTTTCATATAGCACTCGTTCTCCTACCAGCCTTTAAGTTCTAGGAGAATTTTTAAAGTTATTGGTAGTACCAAGAAGGAAAATGGCAAGGGATAGGTGTGGGAGTAATTGGAATGTACCAAAAAGGCTTTAAAAGTAAAAAGCTTTGATACTCCAGTTTTCACCTAATATGGTATATGTGGCAGTCTACACTTTCCAAAGATGACCATGCCAATAGATATCCTAACCCACATGCTGTTCTTAGAGTGTGGTGCTCCTTCCTCTTTCCATATGCAGGAGCTACATTCCCTCCCTTTGGGTGGAACTTTGTAACTACATCAACGACTAGAATATGAGAAAAGAGATGGTATATGATTTCCAAATCTAAGTCATATAAAATATTGCAGCTTTCACCTTGGTCCCTGGTATTGCTTGTTCTCAGAGAAGGCAGACACCATAATAAAACAATAAAGGCACCCCGTGGAGAGCCCATGTGAAGAACGGAGGCTCCCAGCTTAGCCAGCATTCACTTGCCAGCCATCTGAGTGAGCCACCCTGGAAGTGGATCCTCCTGCCCCAGTCAAGCCTTCAGATGACCTCGTCGCCCCCGCTGACATAGGACTGCAACTGCCTGAGGGCCCAAGTGAGAACTGTCCACTGGAGCCCTTCCCAAATTCCTAACCAACAGAAGCCATGAAAGAGAATAAATGACAATTGTTATAAGCTGCTAAGTTTGGAGGTAATTTGTTATATAGCATTAGATAACTTACATGGTATACTAGGAATGAACCCCTGTTAATGAATATATGTAGCAAATTGCACGAGTAAAAGTGAAAATTCTATCTATTGAGAGATATGAATGGTGGGCCAACTTTACTAATAAGTTAGTTCAAATAGAATTTTTCAATTTCCATGTTTTAGGTTAATTTTCTCAATAAAACAACATGTACTCAAAAGTACATGAGTACTCTTAGTACTCAAAATTTTTTTTCATGAATCTTACCTTGAAATCCTTCTCATCCTCATATAGTAAGTATTTAATATCAGAGGGCCCAAACTCTATACATGAGCTGTTTTCTTCATCTGTCTGCAGTTGCTTGGCATATCTGATACCATCCTCATGACTGAGATACAAAGCACTGTCCTCTGCTGATGAGCTCATGAGGTCTCTACCTTTTACTTCTGCAGGTTGCAATTTTGGGATGAATACAAAGAAATTGGTTATTTGGGGATCGAGAAAAATGAAAGTACAATATACACTTTCTCACACTTTTAATTTGAAAGAGCTTTGAAAAATATAGAATCTTGTATTACCGTGAGAGTGAGTCCCATGTTTAGAATCTCTAAGTTGTATGCCCTTCTGTTAGCTGTTAGGTTTTGGTAATCATATGGTAACTTATATCATATGGTAATTTATGTGCATGCTGGTATTTTGGTTGGTTGACTAAACAGGAACCAAAAACACACCAGTGTAGACAGCACCCCATCCCTCTCCACGAGTATTTAATGTAATTCTCTGAAACATAGTGACTTTGATTTGAAAACAGGACAGAGAAAGCTGCAAGAAGAGAAATATGGAGAAGCTGGCCTGTATTTACTCCCTGAATAGCTCTTGGGTATGAGGTACCTGTCTATAATAGATGCTCAGTAAGTATTTGTTAATTTAAAAAAAAAAACACCCTATCACCATTACAATAAAATAATACCCCCATGTATTTCTGGCAACTCCAAAGGCGCTTTAGGCGGAGCTTTCAGTCCAGCAGCTTGAGTAAGATACAGTTGCCTAAAAAGAACAAATGAGAAAAACAGCCTGTCAGTTAAGAAATATTACACCATCTGCTCACTGGTGTCTTTCTCTCTGGTAGGTGTTGGAGACACATAGATGAAAAATGAGACATAGTTTCTATCTTTGAGGTCCATGAGGCCCAGTGGGGTACAGAGAGATCTACAGTATTTTAGGGTGATGGTCTCTACCCTGATGGGTGAGTTGGGGAGTGTGACAAATGCTGTGGGACAGAAGCAACACCTGATGGAGCTTTAGGAGTCAGGAAAGGTTTCCAGGTGCAGACGGTACCTGAACTGAGACTTGAAGAAACAGGGGCTTTTTACCAGGGAAGGGCTTGGGGTGAGGAAGGGTATTGCATGATAAGGGAATAACACACTTAATGTCCTGGGAATGAAAGTGAGCACGACACCTGTTAGGGTGCTATTGTAGTAATCCAGGTGAGGGACAACTGGGGCTTGACTGGATGGTTTTTAAATGAAGAGAAAAAGAGAAAGACAGTGAGCAGCAGGAATCCCAGGTGACATGGAGGATCTGGCTGTCACCGAGTGGCAGGTTTCAGTCACATGCAGGTGATGTGCACGTCCACCAACGCAGCTCTCGGTGCACATGTGTGAGCCTGTGCTCTGCTTTTCGGCACCCACTGAACTTTCAACCAGAGTATATGATGTCTTGCAAGCTCCCTATAGCTTTGTCTGAAGACAGCGTGAATCGGACTCTTGCAGATAGTCAAACCAGCCCCCATGCTTACCAGCTCAGCAATCAGAGTAAAACCCCTGGATTATAGGTTGTCAATTATTTAAAGAACATGAATAAAGTGTTATTCAAAATGCGTAAGTCTCCAGCAAATAATATAACTGCATACAATATTTATGTTTGTAAAAGCTTTTTAAGGTTCAGCTCAGTAAAGGTCACTTTCACATGTAGCTCTGGTCTGCAGGTAGACGTGTCTGAGGTCTTAGAATTCTCTTCTTTCCTGGTTTTCCCATTTTGAATCATTATGATTGTACTAAATGTCTTAAACTTCATAAGTGTGGATTCTCTCATAACCATTAATTTGTTGTCACCTTTGTATCACCATAGTGCACCAACACTTGATAATATGGAAAATACTTAAAGAATGTTATTATATGAAGTTAGTGTTAGATTTGTAAGTATTGGTCCACTTAGCCTCAGTTCTGTGGTGCTGGGGTCCCTGGGCAGTCACCTGTGGTGGACGTTCGCCTCATCTCATGTGTCTAGCAGATACTATGACATTCTATGTGAGTTGTGAAGGAGGAAGTCTGAGGAGCATTGGATGGGAAAGGTAGTAACTCTATTAGCTAAAATACCCCCATTCTTGAGCCAAATAGGGAAACACTTTTTGTATGTCCTTTGGGCATAGTTTGTGTGTAGTTCTCACCCTCCTAGTATATGACAAGACTGAGTTGCCATAAAATATGCAATATGTATTATATTTCTTTGACTTGAAAATGGCTTATAATAAAAGTTGCTGAATACACTCAAAAGTTATCCCGGAGAAGTAGTGGAACAGATAATTGAGGGTTAACACATTTCTGTTCCTTTATGCAGATCTTTCTAAAATGTCCTAAACACTTGCCCCAAGGAATTTATAATCTAGCAAGGAAGCAGCCATTAAATAAGTAATCATGAGTGTGATAAATGCAGGTCATGAAGGAAAAGATTAGGGTGCCATAGAAGCATGTACCAGGGCTCCTAACTGGGTTCTCATACACATTGCCCATGCTTGCTTTTTGCTTGGTCAGATTTTGAACGCATCTCTCCCAACTCAGAAGCCAGACTAAACACTCAGGTCTCTCACTAAAGAAAACCAAGCCACAATGCACTGATGAACACTGTCGGTTTTACTGAGGATTTTTGTGGGGCTAGGGGTTAAATTGGGTAGAGTTAAGTTGCACCTGACAAAGTTAAGTTGCAAAACAATGTCATGAAAATCTCCATTCAAAGTTGCTCATCTCCCTGCCCATCACAACCCAGTTCTCTCTGGCCATTGAAAGAATTCCCCTTTGTATAACTAGCCATTCCCAACCGTGGCAGCACCAAATCAGAGAAGACTGAGCGGACCAAAGCAGTGAATGGGGCTGGCAGTTTGGAGGGTAGATCCTTTCTAAGATTGGGCCTGTTGAGAAAAGAAGGAAAGACAACAGTGGAGGCAGGTAAAGCGCCAGCCGTGGCTGCCGAGATGAAGACCTGCCGGCTAAGAAGGTGACAGCAGCATCAGGTCGGACAGGAGCGTGGAGCTGGAGACCTGATCAAAGAGGAGGGGGCTGACAAGAGCACGTTGCCTACTGGGGGGACACTAAGGCCTACACCCTCTAGGACTCCTTGAGGGCATCAGCTCAAGAGACTGGGAATTCAGGAGTCCAGTAAACAGTCGACTGCCCGCCACATCTGCACAGGTGTCTACCTCTCCAGGGCACCGCTCGGACATTGTGTAAGGGAGCAGGTGGCTGGCCACTTCTCTGTACTGCCCCGCCAGACTTCAGCCTGTAACGCAACTACATGATTCCTGTTTCTCCATGCTTGATTCCTGTTTCTCCATGCTTGTATCCTGCTGCCCGTCCCTTAGCCCAGCAAACGACATCCCACAATACCTGTAGCCACCCTGCTTGGAACACATCAGGAAGTTTGTGAACAAGAAATACTCTATTATGTCACAAACAGTATTTTTTCATGCCACCCAAACCACAAGAACTACTTGGGTAGGAACTTTTTCGTGGCCCTTTCACCATGTTTAGTTTCTCGGCTTTAACTCCTGGACCAAGACATTTGTCTCCCATCTTCCACATGCACACCCAGCATCGGTGTGATTTGTTTCCCCTCTCTTCCTAAACATGCTACTCTTCAGAGTATCAATTGTTTCTGACAACTTGCCCAAATCACCACCACCACTCTGAATTTGAATTCCATATTCCAGGGTCCCAGTTTTCCTCAAGACGTGTGTTAAGAATTCTTTTGTCAGTTCAGAAAAAGAGCCTAAAGTACACATTTGGTTTCTCTTGCGCAGGAATAAATGTGACTTGGAATGCAAGGCTATTTTCTCTGCCTGGAAGGTGGCTTGACTCTCCACTATCAGAGGAAACAATGTTACAGTCCACAAGTCCACAAGTTACCACAAGGTAACCAGAAGCGCAGAAGACCTCCAGGAAGCTACAGCAAAGCTGATCACACCTCGTCTATCTTCTGCTGCACGGGTATGCTTTTATTTTTATGCCCATTTTCCCTGCTGACCTGGAGGCTTTTGAAGGTCAGCAGTTGTGATGTTCCTGGTTAAGTGTTTGCTGTTAAGATTACAGTGCATTGTTAGAAGAAGCAAGCCAAAGTTAGCATGTACCCACAGCCGATTGTAATAATCTTACACCTTCACCGTGGCCGTTTCGTGAGTGCCTTTCTTTGCAGCTGTTGCCATCCAGCTAGAGCATTAAAAAATTATATCATCTTTTAAAAATAACAACTTCTTACACATACAAATGTTTACAAGCTACTTTCTAGATATGCTAATGACTTTCACCTGGGTATTTTGAGATCCACAAGTCTACAGTTGAATAGTTGATCAATAAGCACCAAATTTTCTTCTTCCAGTTCATGAATAATGTTTTCCAATTTTTCAACTTCCTTCTTGTGGTTTGCAATCTGTTCTCAGAAGAGAATGGATGGATGTTGGTACTTGTTCACTTAGTTCAAGATAGTCTTCTGTAAAATACTCAACTCCTAAAAGTCCGTTTGCCTGAGGGGAAGATCTATCCTGTATTATTTATCACTGGGTTTGCTTTGTCCTTCCTCTCTAAGAAGTGATGGGTGGTCTCTTTTCTGGATTGTTTGCAGGACTTGTTTACATGGTTAGGCAGTTACTAGTGAATGGCAGGAGTTGTCTTTTCCTACTCTTCAGAAACCCTGGTGAGTTCTATGTGCTGGAGGTAGAGATAAACATGAAAATAAGACTAATTAACTTATCGTTGTGCTTAAATGGGGAAGATGGTGATAAAAACAAAAAGCAGTGTGATCAAACCAGAACGGAAGATGCTCAGCTATGGTGGGAGTTTCACTCTAGGTCTAGGGTAAGGGATAAGGGAGAATTAATAGAGGAGATGACATCTAATCTGGATCTTGAAAACCAAGTTGGGATTCTTCAGACAACAAAAGAAGGTACACTCTAGGCAGAACAAACCACATGTTAGGTACAGTTATTTTGGTTTGGATAGATACAAAGTGTATGTGGGGAGTAGGAGAGAAACTGGACAATTAGGGAAATAATGCTAAAGGGTTTGGTTTTCATTTTGTAGGTGATGGAAGGTCATGGGCATACATAGGTTTAATGTTTACTAAAGAAATATGACTAACTTAATTAAATATGAACAAAATTTGCTGCTTCTTTTGATGGAATTCCCATCAGTCTTTAAGAAGTATATTTTGGAAACTTTGTCTAAAGACTTAGGTAGTGGGAAAGATATATAGGATGTTACTAGACTCACCTCTCTGCCTGCCTCATGTAGCATGAGCTATACAGGTGTTGCATTGAGAGGTGCTCATGGAGATAGGTCAGGACGATAGGAGAATTAGAAGGGTATAGAAAAGGGGCACCTGCCTAGCTCAGTGAGTTAAGCATCTGACTCTTGATTTCAGCTCAAGTCATGATCTTAGGGTCGTGAGATCAAGCCCCATGTCTACTCTGGGCTCAGTGGAGAGTCTGCTTGAGATTCTCTCTCTCCCTCTTCCTATGCCCCTCCCAAGCATGCTTTCTCCCTAAAATAAATAAATGTTTTTTAAAAAAGACTATAAAAGAGAAAGTGATATGCTGATGGGAATAATGGAGATAAACTGGAAAAAGTAAGTATCTCAAGGGAATATGATGAAACAAAAAAGGTTCAGGGGTTTAGATTCAGTATCTCTTGTTAGGTGTTGCCAAGAGCGTAGCTGAGATGAGTACTTGGATAACTAACATTTTTGACTTGTACTTGAAATTTATTTATTGCATTTTGGAATCTGAAAACATTCTGTATATTACTACATGCATATCTCTCACATAAGTCATGTATTAAATGCTTAAATTCCTACTATGACCAAGGTTCTGTGTGAGACATAGAAGGATGCAAAAGTGAATGAGACATGGAAAGAGTTTCCCTCGGGGTGCCTGGGTGGCTCAGTAGGTTAAAGCCTCTGCCTTCGGCTTGGGTCATGATCCCAGAATCCTGGGATCGAGCCCCGCATGGGGCTCTCTGCTCTGCGGAGAGCCTGCTTCCTTCTCTCTCTCTGCCTGCCTCTCTGCCTACTTGTGATCTCTGTCTGTCAAATAAATAAATAAAATCTTAAAAAAAAAAAAGAGTTTCCCTCAAAGAGGCTTACAATCCGATGAACAAATACACGAATAACAGTAACATAAAACAATACTAGTGCCATAGAAAAGGTTCAAATATTGCTGGAGGCTTACAGTTAGAAAGAAAAGCATATATTATTTACCTGCCTTAAACTATTCAGCAAACCATTTTAAGTCCATAATACTAAATTATAGAAAGCTTTTAGGGGTTGGTGCTTTAGCATCTCGTGAGTTGGGAGATCATCAGCTTGATTACGGGCTTGAATGCCTTAAGGAAAAGTTAATAATTTTCAAATGTCCAAGAATGAGAAAAATTATATTTAGAGTTTGTAAACAGAAGGAATTGATAGAACATTTGGAAATGTTTGACCCAAGGGCTTGGCATGCTTGGGAGGCAGCACATACAGTTCTTGGTCTCCTTCCAAAGTTGAGAATGAAGAGTTCCTTTTTGGGGAGTTAAGTCTGATCTTCCAAGCTAAGGATATCTTGTGGCATCACTGACCCTTTGGACTACTAACTAAGGTTCCCAACAATTACTGTCTCCAGGCTTTTGAAATATTAGGGAAATGAAAACTACTTCCTTTTTATTACCATATAAATACCTTTACATTTCTAGGGTAAGAAAGTTAAAAGGAGGAAGTAGAAGACTGCTTTACTGGGCTTCTCCCCAGATACCCGAGAAAGGTACTTAAGAGATTGAGAAAGATAATTTAAACTATTATAAGTTAGAGACAGGATCCTGAATTAAATGTGTACACTTGAAAATTTCCCCTGCAAGATGCAAGTTAGCTTCATGCCTTCTCACACTTGAAACTCTGATTGCTAACCTCTTTGAATCCCTTTGTCTAGTTTTATTGGCTTTCTATTTGTTGAGTGAATCTAAGTCATTTGGAAATTTCAGTTTTCTTCCCTTCCTTAATTATCACGCTAAATAAAACCAGATAGTGTAAGTCATGCATAGGACACTACCTATCCTTCCCACAGATACAAGTTTTTGGTTATCAGTGAAAGATAGTTAAACAGAGAAATGCTTTCAGGACTTCCATTATTATTGTTTTTTTTGCACTGTATTTTAGTACCTTTAATGACATGTTTTTCCTGCAAGAGTTCCATTATTGAATATCCCTTGTTAATCATTCTAAACCTCTCTCAAAGAAATTAATTGACATAATTATTCCATTTCTGGGCAATTTTCAATTCTTGTGATAATACTTATAGCCAGGGATGATATTAATTAATTTTATGATTAAATTTAATAATGCTAAAATAAGTATTTATTGAAATAAGGAGAAATTAAGTCTATTAAATTTCCTTAAAATGATTTGTCCTTTATTACTAAGCTCTTTTGCTCATGATTTAATTAAACTTGACATTTTTCCTGTCTTTTATTTCTATTGAATCATGAGAAATAAAAAATAAAATGAAACAAAATATCATTTGTGGCTTTAGTAGGAAGGATCAAAACACCAAAAAACCCTTTCTTATCAGTCAGATATAAATTTTTACAGGTATTCTCTCTGAACCTAATATCTATGACATCTTACAAGATTTAAGATTTGAATTGTTAAATTATTATTAATTAGGATTTGCTGTTATATTCAATAAAAGTGTCAAGATTAAACTGCTCCCTAATATTCTTTAACTGTTAGGCTCACCTTGAGTTTTTGGGTTTTTTTAAAGATTTTATTTATTGGGCGCCTGGGTGGCTCAGTGGGTTAAGCCGCTGTGCCTTCGGCTCAGGTCATAATCTCAGGGTC